TATATATGTTCGATTTAAATTGCATTTGTTTATTAAAAATAAATTAAAGAATAATGAAGGCACCCTCACCGTCAGATTTCCCGGTTATGTTCAATTCTTTTTTTCCCTTTTTGTTTATCAGATAAGTGGCAAGTCAAGACTGACAAAAATATAAGGTGATAGAGTATTGCACGCGCTTTCAGAATATACACTTACTTTTTTTATAACTCGTTCCTATGTTGAAAATAAATTTGAAAAAATGAAGAAAACAGGATAAAAAATTGAACGAAAAAAATACATATCCTGGGAGTCTTAAGATGAGGGTGCCTTCATTGTTCTTTAATTTATTTTTAATAAACAAATGCAATTTAAATCGAACATATATAGAATTGTAGAAAACTCCACGCACTATCCGAATATATAATTAGTTTTCTCAATATGTTCATTTATAGTGATGATATATTGAAAATATCGAGTGACACTATTTTTTTTCAGGGGATATATGCATCACACAATCATACTATGGCAATTGAATCAATTAGCAAAATTCTTAAATTCTGCTTGTGATGAATTTCCCCACTGCTGATTTCGAGTCAAGTCAAGTCAAGTCTGACTGGACTTGACTTGTTCATCTCTGGCTATGTCAGATCAACTATCAACGTGTGTCAAGAGCATATCAGTTTATTGACCTCGTTCTATATAAATCTTTCTACTAATAATAATCGTCCAACAGTATCATCCAAACAACAATTCATTATGAGAAATCAAGTTTTGTTACCAATACAATTCATTTATGAAACATATTTCTTGAGTAAACTAATAGAATTATCTTAAAAACAATTATTTGATTTAACCTTTCTTAGAAAATTACTCATGATGAACATTTTTCTAATTATTGAATTTCAATATCATTTTAATAAATTAAGAGAAAAATGATTAAATCAAATTATATATATATATATATATTGATTATTCAAGAATAATACATTAATATTTGAATATCATATCTCGATATTAATATTCATTGTATTGAAATCTCATAGCATTCATTATTACTTATCATTTCAAATTGACAAAATGATCTTTCTTTTGCTTTATACAAATACGACAATCACATATACATAGACAACAGACGACGACAGAAACAAAAAAAAAACTTTTTTTTCTTGCAAAATATGCGAATACAAACAAGAATATTTTTCCAGCACTTTTCTGTGTGTGTGTGTGTGTGTGTTTTTTTTCTCCATGCAAAGATTCATATCCACACATAAAAAAGAGAAGTTGAATAAAAGAAAAGAAATGAACAAACAAATTGCTTGTCAATGTCTGTATATATATATATGAGTGTGTGTGTGTTACTCTTCAGCAACGAAAAAAAAAAGTCTATCCAGATTTGAATGGATCGAGCAAATATGATGAAAAGAAAAGAAGACATTTTTTTGTAGCATGAATAGGAAAAAGAAAAAGACAAGAAAATGATCGCAATTAATATATTCAAAAAGAAAAAGTTAGATTTGGGCAAGAAGTCGTTCGACTGCAGCATTTACATCGCCCATTGTTGCCGTAAGTGCTTAAAAATAAAAAATAAATTCAAAAACAAAAAACCAATAAATAATCAATTAATTACCTTGTAAATTTGCTTCTCGATTAGTAAAACCCATTGAAACTAGTTGTTCTAATTGAACAGCATAACGTTGATCTGGTGGTGTATTCTATACAATAAAAATAAATAGAATAAAAAAAAAACTTTTTTTTTTTCATTAAAAAATAATAACATACAATATTTTGATTTGACATCATATTCAACATTTGAGCAAATACACCTGCATAATTGCTTGAATCAGTTGATGATGTATCACCAGTAGGTCTTGTTGATGATGGAGCCTGACCAGTTGATGTTGAAGATGTAGATGAAGATGAAGCATTATTTGTTGAACTACTAGTAGCAGCTGGTGAAGCTAAACCAGTTGGACCAAAGCGAAGACCAGCAGGTAAACCGCCACTAAATTAATAGAAAGAAAAAAACAATTTTGTTTTTTGTTTTCATCAAAATATTTTATTAATAAATTTACGCTTGGAAAAGATTTGGTGCTGCTGCATGTAAACGTTGAAGTCCTATATAATAAAAGTTGTGAATTTTGTTTTTTTTGTTTTTATTTAAAGATTCTAACCTTCTTGAACTTGTGTGATAGCTTCAAGTGCTTCACGATTTTGCATTAATGCTTGTACTTCAGGATTTCTCATTTGTTCCATCATAGCTGGTAAAGCATTTATCATTTGTTCACGTAATTCAGGATTATTAGCAAACATTGGATTATTAGCAACCATTTGTCTTGATATATCTGGATTAGCAGCAAGTGAATCCATTAATGGTTGCATATATGGTGCATTAAGAACACTTTCAAGTAAACGAGGATTTTGAACTAATTGCGACATATAATTTTGCATCATTGGAGATATTAAACCGGGTGAACTACCAGCAGCACCAGTTGGAATTGCTGATGGTGTTTGTTGTTGTTGTTGATTATTTGATGTACTGGTTGATTGTTGTTGTTGACGATTAGTTGAAGTAGCTGTTGCTGCAGCAGTACCACGAGGTGCCCAAGGATTTGGTAATGGATCTGTATTTTCTGTACGTGGTGCAGATGTATTTTCTATGATGAAAATAATAGAAAAAAAAGAAATTATAAAAATATTTCGAAATACCTCCATTTCCACCAAATAATTGTGCAAATGGATTATTGCCAAATTGTTCTTGTGCTGCTGAATACATTGGTTCTTGCACATCATGATAAATACGTTGTAAAGCATTAAATCCACCTGGAATACTCTATTTAAGAGAATTTTTAACATACATGAAAAAAAAATATTTATGATGAAAAACAAATTTACTTCAAGATTGCTTAAAGCTCGATCATGATTACGCATAAGTTCTTGTAATGCTGTTGGATTACGAGCATATTCCATTGTTTGTCGAAGTAAATCAGGATTATTAAGTAAATGTGATATTTCAGGATTGCGCTTAAAAAAATATTAGATTTTTTTGTTTTCTATAAAAAGAAATTGTCAAATTCACAAATTAATTTACCTCCATTAAATCACGCATTTGTGGATTGCTAAGTAATAATGAACGTAATAAATCTGGATTACTTGTTATACTTTGTACCATAGGACTTTCCATTAACTGACGAAGTTGTGCTGGATTGCTCATTATCTATTGAATAACAAAATTTTATTTAATTTATAATGAATTTCGTTTTCGAAATCAGAGAACGGCTCAGAACAGTCTTTTTTTTTAGGATGCAGGACATATAAGTCAAACTAATTGATCGTGATCCAATGAAATTTTAGTCTAATAGTAAAATTGAGTATGAATTTCTATTATTATGAATAGTAGTGGGAAGAATATATACTATGCTTAGTGATTAGTGTTTCCATGAAAAGATTATTCAACTCACTTGGATTGACATATTTACTCAAAGACAAACGGATCTATCACCAAGTCAAATAAACAGTATTGTTTATTTGTTCTTATGACAAAATTCAAGAAAAAAGAAAATTTATCCTGTCTTGTTATATTGATTCCTGTATCTGTATGTTTGTTTTACTCATATTATGAATGTCAAGTATAGTTTTTTTTTATTTTTGCTAGAAAACTTATGATCAGTTTCATTAGCATGAATTTTGTATCAATAGAGGATTTATAATATTTGGCATCGTACTTCATATACAGACAAACTTAATATCCTTATCAACAAAAAAAAAGCAATGCAAAGATCGTCCTGCAGATCGGATGAAAAAAAACACAACATTTTAAACATTTGAAATATGTTGTGTACTCTTTTTTTCTTTCTATAAATCAAGGGTAAATATTAAACTTATCCTTTATATAAATATATTTACTTGTTGTTGAAGTTGTTGTTGCATATCAAGAAAATTAGTATTAGCCAAATTTAAATTTCCCATTCCAGGTGTTAAACCAAGACCAAATGGAAAACCACCTGCATTTGGTTGTGCTGTATTCGGACGATTAGCAGATGCTTGTGTATCACTAGCTGTTGTTGTTGTTGCTGTTGCATTAGTAGATGTATTTGCTGCTGTTGAATCTGTTTTAGGTGCTCGAATAACCAAATGAAGTGTAACACCATCTTTTACATCTATTAATTACAAGAATAAAAACAAAAAACAACATAAACGAGATTTATGATTTAAGAAAATCATTTTTCATACCATGCTTTTTAAGATCTTCATCATCTTTAAGAATTTTACCCGAATATATAAGACATATTTGTTCAATTGATGCACTAAATTCATTAGCCACAATATCTTTTAACTAATAGAAAAAAAAAAAGAATTTTTTTTTTCGTAAAAAAATTTTGTTTTTCGAATTTACTTGTTTAACAGTAGAAGATTCATCAATTGTAATATCTTTTTTTTCTTTTGGTGTTTTTATTGTTAATTTTAAATTTGATGTTGTATTTTCAGTTGTAACTTCTTGTTCAGGAATTGGACTAGTTATAGGTGCTGTATCAGCAACATCAGTTACATTATCATTGCTTGTTGTACCTGTTCCAACATCCATTTGTTCATTGTTATTCTCACTCATTTTTTTTAAAACACGAGTCAAAAAAAAACAGAAAACTTGATTAAAATAATCCTAATGAGAATAATCTAGAATATAGAAAAAAAAATGGTGAGTCAAAATTTGTTCTTTGTAATTATTACTAATATAGATTTGTTTCGACTATTCACGAATGAAAAAAAAACACAAACTCAATCAACAATGATAGATGTCGTCATATGTTATGTATGACTATTTTTTTTATCATACAAAAAATAAAAGAATCATTATCACAGTAACATCAAGGATGTATTTTTATAAAAAAAAAATGAAGAATAACCGGTTTTTTTAAAATTAAATCAATCTTCATGGTCAGTTGTATAGGTATCAAGATTTTCTTCATTTGTAAAATTAAGAAAATGTGATGGATGATGAAATTAAATCATATTTCATATTAGCATTATGACGAGCACTCTCTACAAATAGAAGAAAAAGAACTTACATCATGAAAAATAAATAGAAGTTATAGTTTACTATAAAAATATAATTTCATAAACTTTGTCCTAGTATCATAATGTGATGAAGCATATTCTAAATAAAAATAATTTCAAAAATATATTTTATCGAGTCCATTTATAATCACTTTGTGTTAATTTATAAGCAACTAATGAAACTCAAATAAACAATTTCATGTGTACTTCTTTGTGGTGATAAGATAACATAACGAATTCCTTTTATTTGTAGATTATCTGATGGGCTAATACCCATATAAATAACCAGAAATCTATAAAAAAAAAACATAAAATAGAAATTTCAATTAAAATCTTACTTGTGTACGAAGATCTGATATAATAATAATTTTTTTTTTGGTAATATGATGAATTTCTGTTATTGTTGTTATTCATAGGTTTTAAAATCATTATTAATATGTAATGCTTTAAGAATAAGAATAAAACGTGAAAATGTTGTATAAGAAGAAATTGTTTTTTTTTAATCAATCATCATATAAATTAAACAGAATCATTTGTGATTCATTAGCTTTTAAGATTAAATCACCAAATTTTTTTAACTTTAAGACAAACTTGAAATGATAATTGTAATTCACTACCTTTTGATAATTATATTTGGAAAATCTATGAAAGAGAAAAAAATGTCAATGGCGAGTGACAAGCATTTATTGAAAAGAACGCTCTTTTTTTTTTGTTGAGGTATTAAATTTTTGAGTAAACTCGGTTTTTTGTATCATGCTTTTGGCAAACGATTATTTTTTGAAAATTTAATATCTCAATCAAAGAACATTATATTTTGCTGAAATTTTTAGGATATTCTACGGGTTGTTCAATGTATGAAATTTCAGGTCGAAAATTCAGTAAAACGATCCAAACTCGACTTTAAGTACCTACGAAGACGAACCATATTAATCTCACCAAAACATCCTTGTAAACTTAATAAGAACTCAAATATCGGGTATCAATTTGAGTGATTCCTTCGTTAGTAGGGTAGCATCATTTATTAGTTTTGTTGTTAAATTTCCTTCATATGTTTTATGTATTGTGTAATACGATAAACATTTGTGTTATCAATAAACCAAATAATTTGATTTGAAAATAATTCACCATAATTTTGTAATGATAAATATAGCTCAGATGAATATAATTGCAAACCTTTACGGATACGTTCACGTAAAACATAAACACAATAATGGTGATTCACTATCAGCTTGATACCATAAATATTGATATAAATAAGCATTAGTAATTTTTTCCTAATTGTTTAACGTCATAAATCGATATTAAATAATTATATAAAAATCCATAAATTCAATTCCACATTGTTTAAATGTACGTCGTGTTAAAAGTTGACGCTTAATACTTAACAAAGCTTCATGTGGATTATCATATGCTTGTTTAATTAAACTTAGTTCTTCTCATTGTAATTGATTTAATTTTGATTTAACACTAGATGTTTCTTTTAAATGTTCTAATCCGAATATAAGTAATTTTGTATCATGTTTATATGTTAATAGTGAAAATGTTATATATGGACCATCTTTAAGATAATTATATTGTCGTTCTTGTTCAGATTTTAAATAAAGATGGGTTAAACGATCTAATTTTTTTTTTACAAACTGTTTTATCAATTGTAGCACCACGTCTTATAATATGCTGTTGATGTCCACCAATCAACTTTGGCTTTAATATAACGTAATACCATATTTTTAATAGATGTAGGTAAACCAGGTATTTTTCATGGTATATTTGCTTTCCAACAACGTTATAATTCATTTAAATGTTGTTGTGAAATAATTCATGCTTTAATAATGGATACACGTAATTCTAAAATCATAATGTGATTCAACATGTTATTTTGTAATTGTTTTAGGAATATCTTTTGAATGACATCCTTCAAATTATTGTGATAATAAATTATCTAACCAATACTCTAATAATGGTGTAATACCACGTAAAAAAAATAACTACACATGCCAACTTGGTGCCCAAAAATCACAACCAAGTCCTGTATTAAAACGATAATAAATTAAATATTTTAAATCTTTATGCAAACGTATTCGTTTCATTAATTTATATTTATAACAATAGATTCCAGTTAATTGCCCAATCCGTGTGAACCATCAGCTAATTGATATGTACAATGTTCTTCATACCATATTTTAACTAATGGCATATCAATTGCATGTCATGTTCAACCAGACTGAATCCAGTTAATAATTGCTTACTCATACGTTAAAATGTCGAAAGAATTGGTAATGTTAATTGCCAACGACGATATGTTGAACCATTTATCATTCTTAAAATAAATCAATCATATTAAAATAAAACGAATAAATTTTCAATGCAAATCCATCCGAGCTGATTTTATTGGAATGAAGAAAATACATCAAGGGGGAAACAGCGGACTTCAAGACTTCAACCATAGTGACTTCATATTTTCACAAGACTTCATAGGACTTCAAATGGCTCCACAAGACTTCATAGGATTTCATGGGACTTTAGAGAACTTCAAAAGACTTCCAAAGATTTCATGAGACTTCACAGACTTTGTGAAACTTCACGGACTTCATGACACTTCATAGATTTTGTGAGACTTTGTAGGACTTCTTGAGACTTTATAAGACTTCACAAGGCTTCGCCATACTTCACAAAACTTCATAGGACCTCACAAGACTCCACAAGGTTTCACAAGACTTCAAGAGGCAGATTCCATGCGTATCAAAAAACCTTATAGTAATTACATGAAACTTCTATAACATGCAAAAAACAAAACTTATCATATAGTGATTAGAAAAGTATTTCTTGTTTCTGAGAATTGTTTCTCGCAGTATATCTATATCTAGGATAAAGATGTGACAATGACACAAAGTGTTGATGAAATCAAAACTGAGAAAATAAACTTTACTGGGATGCTTATATTTGATTCGATTAATCCAGCATTGAAAAACTCCTATTTTCGGGTGCAAATAAATAACAAGACTAAATTTATACACAAGCGAACGGCTTGTTGGTTATTGACCGACAAAGCTAGCCATTTATCGTCTGATAGATTTCATGAGTGATAGAAACAAACAAAAAGGAATAAAGTTCTTCATAAGATTGACATTCAATGGATGGAACATTTCTTATGAAAATAAGCCACTTCATTCAAAAAGCATTCAGTTATTAACTATCATGTTTTATAAGATCCAATAAACTTGAATTTTTTGCCAGCACATTGAAAAAAAAAACAATAAAAGGTTCACCTTTCTGCTAGAATAAGACCATCGAAAACAAGAAAATTTCATTGATTTCCTATGAATTTTCATGCACTAAGTGTATTTCAAAACTTCCAGAAGAATTCATGAGACTTCAAAGGACTTCAAGAGACCTCAAAAGACTTCATAAGACTTTATGAAACTTCAGAGACTTCAAGAGACCTTATGAGAATTCATAAGACTTCCGAAGGACTTTCAAGACTTCATGAGACTTCACGGTTGAAGTCTCTGCTGTTTCCCCCTTGAAATACATCAAGTATTTTGGAACTGTACGATTGCAAGATGATTACGCCCTCCTAAATTCTTGTTGTGCTTTGCATTTCTTCTCGAAAATTCTCTGTAAAATTTTTTAAAGAAAATCACGTATTTTCTCTCAAAAAGAAACTGAATCAGGTCATATTTCGAAGAGTAATATATTAAAAAGACAGATGATAAGACAAACATACGAAGAATGGTTTGATCGTCAATATATCTAAAATTCATTGAATAGATACTGCAGAATATCATATGCAAAATCAAGCTAAATATCTGGATAGCAACTTCAAGTATCCTTAATACTTCCTCGGATAGTCAATCGTGAAAAAACACAAAGTTCTCCGAATGTTTTTTTCATCTGTAGAATTTCATACAGCTCGTTACGCTGATCACTTTGGTTAAAAGAGAAGTATTGAAATTTACTCAATAGATCATGATGTTAGGTCTAAAATACTCCAAATCTTCAACTATTCCTAATTGCTGCTGAGGATTAGTTAATATGTTTGAGTATGTTGACTCTAGCAACATACATTTGAAGACTCTTTTTTACTAAAATGATCATTGCAACGAACTCTACAGACAGAAAAAAAATCTTCCGAAACACTTGTGTTATTTTGCGGTTGACTATCCATGGAAGTATTCATTGAAAAATACGATTCGCAAGCATTTTATCATTAGTAGTTATCTTAAAATACATAAGTTTCCATGACATATTGATGTAGTGTAATTTTTTCGGATATGATACTTAGAACACTTTCATAGGACAGTATAGGCAGCGCATGGTAAATTTTTAGATGAAGAAATAAAGTTTTATATGGGTCCGTTTTGTTCGTTTTTCCGAATAGTGGAAGATTTGAGTGAAGAAAAGAAAAGGTTACGAATGAATAGTTAATGTTAATAGACTGTACTATTTTTCTTTATCCATAAACCAAGACTAGGAAAAAAAAAGATCTATTACAATTTAAGAAGATAAACTTTTTCTTGTTTTGATGTTTCTCGAAAACTAAAATTTACTTTGTATTTGTTAACCGTTTATGATTATAAAACCATTCACATCACCATGATTACGAATTCTTTTTCGTATATGTGCAGATGGTAAATCTTCTTTTCCTATATCTGTATAACCAAAACGTTGTTTATCAGCATAATGTTTTGTTTGTAATTGTTACCAATGATATGCTTTTTCTTGTAAATGATTTTCATCTATTGTAATCCATTGAAATAGGTGAATTTTGTTGATCGGAAGTTGTTGCTTTTTGCATTATTAACAGATGTACAACTCATACAACTACAGGTCAAAATAAGAATAAATTTTGTTAGTACACTAATATTGGAGACGTGGAAGACTGATTCATTGCTTCATACCAACAGATACATAAAGAATAGAGAAAAAAAATAATTTGTTTAATATTCAACCATTTTTTTTTCTTTATCATTAATTTCCTCTACAAGAAAAAAATAAGAGACGTTTGAATTTTCTTTGTCGACATCTATCATTCATATTTTTAACAAATTATATTTTAATTTTTTTAAAAGAATTATTTTTTGCTTTTAATTTAATAATTTTTATTTTTTCATTAAAATTGAATTCTTTTTTCAAAATTCTAATTGGTTAAGTAGTTTTACGTCTATGTACATATAATAGTGTAATATAAGAATAGGAATTCTTCTGAAAACTTATTCATCTGTAACGTTTCATCTTCTTTGATTCATTTTTTCCCTTAGTTGATCGATCCACACGTTTCATATTGTGATTTTAACGAAGAAAACATATTTTCTGTATATTTCTATATATATAAATATATTATATATGTGCTGGTTGATTGAATACTATTCGTTTATTCGTCATCATCTTTTTACCTATTAATATTATTTTATTTAAAACATTAAGATCAATATTAAAGAGAAAATGCATCAATATTCAAGTGTTGATGTTATATCTTTGGATGATCAACAAGTTAAAAATGAAAAAATACAAATAAATGTTTTATTAATAACAGAAAATAATGAACAAAAAAAATATGCTATATTAGTTAAAAATGGTGAGATATTACGAATTTTATTTTTGAATAAAGCAAAAGATGTTTGTATTAATTTTAGGTACATCGACTATATTAACAATTACTTTAGATGATTTATTTGAAACTATTCGTTGTGGTTTAACCGGTATTATTATTAGTCTACCAAAACAAAAATATCGTTCATATTTATTTAAGTTTCCTAATCAAGAAGGTAAATTAAGTTTTCAAAATTTTTTATATATCAATATATGAGAAAAACACCAACAAAATATTGTACATGACATTTATTAAATCTCGATCAATATAATTAAAATTGACACTAGTGTTTTTTTTAGTAATAACGGAAATTTAATCAGTTCTGTTTATTGGTATTTTATATATGATTCACTTATCTTTCTAATATATAAACCTTAAGACACAACGATATATGAAAAAGAATCAAAGAAAATGTACAGAAAGATTTCATATGAAGAAAGAGAATATTGACTTTAATAGAAAATTCTCGATAAAATAATATGAAACTTTCTCAGTATGTAATCAACAATCGATTAGGAATTTTACATAACATTTTGATTTTAGAATATATATATATATATATATTTTTAATGTTTACATATTAGATGCAATCAGTTTTAATAAACTTCTTTTGTCAATTAAATCGGGTAAAAGTATTGACGACAGTATCTCATGTCAATTCGATGAACGTACAGAAGAATCATCAGCAGTACAATATTTTCAAGTATCTATTAAAATATTAATCTTTCATTATAAATATATATCTGTATGTTTAATTAGTTTTATGGTTATTTATCACAACAACAAAATATGATGCAAGATTATATACGTACATCAACTTATCAACGAGCAATTCTTGATAATACAATTGATTTTGCTGGAAAAGTTTGTTTATTTAAAAAATTATTCATTTTCTTATTTTTGTTATTCAGGTTATACTTGATGTTGGTGCTGGTTCTGGTATTCTTTCATTTTTTGCTGCTCAAGCAGGTGCACGAAAAGTCTATGCTGTTGAAGCAAGCTCTATGGCTCAACATGCGAGAGTAAAAAAAAAAAAGAAAATTCAATTCTAAATTTTTTTTTTTTTGCTCTTAGACTCTTGTTGGTAATAATCATTTAAGTAATTGTATACAAGTAATTGCTGGTAAAATCGAAGAAATCACATTACCAGAACAAGTTGATGTTATTATATCAGAACCAATGGGTTATATGTTATATAATGAACGTATGTTAGAAACATATTTACATGCTAAAAAATGGCTTAAACCAAATGGTAAAATGTATCCAACAACAGGTGATCTTTATGTAACACCATTTACCGATGAAGCTTTATATATGGAACAAGTTGGTAAAGCAAATTTTTGGTATCAACAATCATTTTATGGTGTTGATTTAACAACATTACGTGATTTAGCATTAGATGAATATTTTAAACAACCAATTGTTGATAATTTTGATGTACGAATATGTTTAGCACGACCAATTAAATATTCAGTAAATTTTTTAACAGCAAATGAAGAAGATTTATATGAAATAAATATTCCATTATCATTTCAAATGACAACAACAGCTGTTATACATGGTTTGGCATTTTGGTTTGATGTTTCATTTAATGGAACAAGGTTTTATTTAAAACAAAAAAAAAATAAATTATAAATTTTACCTTTTTTTAGTTCACAAATATGGTTATCAACTGCACCTACACAACCTTTAACACATTGGTATCAAGTTCGATGTTTATTTATGAAACCACTTACAGTTAATCTAGGAGCAACTATTAAAGGTCATGCTATATTAAATTCAAATAGAAAGTAAAATTTATTTCGAATTTTTTTATTAAAACATTATTTTTTTGTTCTTTTTTTTTATGTAGACAAAGTTATGATGTTGAAATATTTCTTCAAATTGATGGTACAACAATATCAGCTAAAAATATACTTGATCTTAAAAATCCATATTTTAGGTTTGATATTATTTAATTATTTCATATTGGTTTTGTTTTTTTTTTCTATAGAATTTTTTTTTTTTGTTCTTTGATTTAGATATCCAAATCAACCAATGCAAGTACCACCTGGACAATTTCATGAATCACCAACTGAACAATATTGGAATGGATTACAAAATGATCAAATTGCAATGACTACTGGAACAATTCATTCAAATACAAATCTATTTAGTCAAAGTTGTAATATCAATAATAATATAAATCCAAGTGACGATTATGATGGTACTAAAATGAATATTGATGGGGGATGGCTTTGAGAAATTCCTGCAGACCATTTTTATCAATAGAGTTATTGTTTTTTGTTTTTTTGTTTTTTCAAGTCTTCGTTAAACTTTCCGATATATCGTCATACACATTTCGTAATACTGTTACGATATATACGTGTTCGAAAAAAAAAAACTTTTTTTTTTTTTCTTACACACATTTCAATTTTTTCCATGTATTACTTTGAATTCTGAGAGAAAATGAAACAAATAATTTAATATGCTTATTAGAATGAATATGTTAGAAAAGAAAAAAAAACCAGCAAATTTATAAAGAAACATATCCGACTACAATTTACTATTGATATTTCTTCTTATAAGTTTTTTAAAAAAAAATATTCTATAATTCTTTCTTATTCTACGTTGCACAGGAAGTTCATTGAACAATATTGCTACACCTTTTCCAACAGATAATATTCATCATTTTACTTTACCATGTGCCTCTACTTCTAATCATTCCGATAAATCAACTACATTTCCTTCAACAACTACTGTAAGTATTAAATTATTGAGATTTTTATTTAACAAAAAAAAAAAAAAATCTATTGTATATATATATATATAGCAAATGGCAAATGGATTTATTTCCTTTGCTAATACAACAGATGGAAATCTTTTTACGCAACAATCTAGTACAAAAACATAATGTGGAAAAAAAACCCAATAAAAAAAAATTCTATTTAATTGATTATGAAAAAAAAAACAAAATTCTCTGTATTCTTTTTCTTATTGTTGTCTTTTTTTGTTGTGTCTCAGGAGAAAATAAACGTATGTGCGTGTGTATTTTTTGTTGTTCCAAAAAAAAAAAAAACAAGAAATAACAGACAAAAACAACAACGTTAAGTTAAGATAGTTAAATCATTCGTTTCTTATTGTTTTTTTTTCTTCTTATAGATAAATAATGTCATCATCATTAATAATATCAAAATTTGAAGATTTAAGTGATGATATTTTAATGGATATATTTGATTTACTTTATCCATCTGTTTATATATATCATTCATTTTTTAATTTAAATCAACGTTTAAATAAAATAATAAATGATTCACGTTTATTAATATCACTTGATTTATGTCATTCAATAAATCCATCTAATTTTGCTTATCATTGTCAAATAATGTTACCTAATATGTCAAAACAATTAATATCATTACGTTTATCAAATGAACAAAAATTATATGAACAAATTAAAATATTTCTTTTACATATACGTTTAGGAAATTTTCATGCTTTACGTCAATTATCTCTTATACAAATAACATTTGATCAATTAAGACGAATACTTGTTGATATTTTATCTTTAAATAAACTTGTTCGACTTGATATTGATATGTTTGATGGATCTGGAACTAGTCTTAATGAACTTAGTCTTATAGCAAATACATTATTAAGTAAATCAAATTCAATTAAAGTAAGATTTTTTTGTAATTAGAAATTTATTATTAAAAGAAAATATTTTACTTTATTTAATAATAAAATTTAATCTAGATTACAGATGTAAGAGATCAAGTTTCTTTTTTTTATTTCGATTCCGATCACATCTAGGACAATTCATCTATAGTCGTTTTTTTGATTTGTTTCAGTCGATGATTAGTAGCTTTTTGAATAATTTTTCTTTAAATTATTTTTTAACGGATAATTTGTTCAATATCATAGAATATTGAATTATAATCTTTGATTCTGTTCGTAGTGATCGGGACTAAAGTTGGCTCCACTTATATCTAATGTAGTCTGTTTCGATAAAGATTATTGATTATGAAGGTGAGACGATGAATGTATTTTAATCATAATCATGTCTATTGAATTCTTCGACAAATAAAAATTGAATGCCTATTTCAAACAATTTACATGATATTTTTATTAGTTAGTTCTCTAGTAGGTTTTAATTTGTAAAGACGAAGTTCATCAACAGTATAGAAAATGTAACACTTTCGATTACAATTTAAAAATTAGACTTTATTCAACCCTATCAACAATATGCATCGGGTTTTTTTTTACAATATTTACTTAAATTTCTATCGGTATTATACATTTCATACCATGCAGATCTTTGATTATTGCTTTTTAATCATTTGTTTGACATATTTTTAAAGAATCGAATCATTGGTAAATTTCTTCACAGCAAGTCATTCGTAACTTTTCGAATACTTTAATAACCATAGAAACGAATGTATTAGATCATTTTATAATTTATTCTGACATTATAATTGACTCTCTTGCTTTTTATTCGTAAGAATATATCAAAACAAGTGTTTTGAAAGTTACGATAAAAGATTTAAGTGATCTAAGGTCCATAATATCGAAAAAAGCATAATTTTTAAGCTAGAATCGAAAGTATTATATTTTTCTACGCTATCGACAAACTTGATCTTTATGAATCAAAATTGATTAGTCTCCTAATTACAAAAACAAGATTTTTACTGAGTATGATTAGTAACTGAATTATCTGTACTTCTTAATTGGTCATGACTCTTGAGATACTCCTGTAGATAAATCCGAAACAAAAATCTCTGATCTTATTCTTCCATTAATACTGAAAATAAACTTTAATAAGATGAATAACAAGCTTTGTACGAAAAATCTTTGTTTTTTTCGTTTTTTCCTTTAGTTTTTATGTCTTCGTTTTAATCGTGAATTTATAATATCTGAACGTGCTTCATCTTCATTAACTCATCTGACAATTGATGCTTGTTTTTCATCCGATGTACCACAATTATTATCTCTTTGTTCAAATCTTCATTCATTAACGATTAAAATTGAACAATCACGTCGTCGATATCCTCTTCTTAATATAATGAATTCTGATCAACAACT